TGGAGCAGCAAGTCTAAATACAATCATGAGGTCATCAGTTGATGGAACAGACATTGCATATGCATTGTATCCTTTCTTGTTCAGTGAATTAATCATCATAAAAGCTGCAACAATCTGAAATGTGAACACGTCAGTGGAAATGCAACAAGCAATGAAGTTCTTAAATATGGTGCATGGTACGGAATCAATGAATATAGATTAATAGCAGAACGTTTATCAGCATACTTGTGATGCCATTGTAGCCCATGCTGCGCCGGCGATACCATATCCAAGAAATCTGCACAGGACTATATCACCAATGCCATTTACAGCACTAGCAACTGCCAACGCTTTTAATGGTCCCCATGAATCTTTCATTCCAAGGCTGAGAAACAGAAGAACTATTCTTAAAGGAAATTATAACCTAGCCAGAATAATTAATGAATAAATGAAATACCTAGCAAATCCATACAAACACCACAAATTCAACAACACTATAATGATCCTTAAATATTGCATTGGGACTGCAGAAGAACTGTCATATAATGACCAAATTAAGCAGCTGCTAACACATTCAGTAGATAATGGATGGAAGAAATGTAGTGTATTTACACCTTGCACTTTGAACAACCCATCCAATAAGAATTGCAGGCCATGCTAAACCTCGAATCTACAAACAGAAAACAAAAAAATCAGTTATCAACATGTCATTTAATCAAAAATCATGATTGAAATTCAACCATAGGAAATGATTTTCTGACATGTCCAATTCTATCCAACTGCCAATAGTTTATCATAAAATATCGACCTTTCAGGTTTCATTAAAGTACAAATCAAGCTTTCATACTTGAACAGCACAGAATATATGGGAAAGTGCAGTCTGGAGATGCCTTAAAGATTTGAGGAAGGTTCGGTAAACATATTAATTATACTTCCCGATGATGAATAACAAAGTAGCCATAATCAATGGAGCTTGAAAAGCCTTCCACAATAAATACTCTCTCTTGGTTTTGTGCTTCACCAATAAGACAAAGAAAATACATATCCATCACACAAAGTATAGGAAAACTAGCGATTATTTAGATCAAGTAACATATTAATTTATGGGAAAAGAGAATGCACCTGAACGTATGTGTTAGCTGCAGGTATTATATCTAAATTATCTGACCCTGCGAATGCTGAAAAGAAGATAATAGCAAGTTTGTCAGTCGCAGATTGACCTCCATCGATTCAGGTGACCAATTATTGGTTGATACCAAACACTATGACAGGCCAACCTAATATAATAAGGCACTGCATCTGCCAATATATGAAAAAAACCACAAAATTGCAGCGGTCTCAGTTACCTTTTAGTGCTGATGGGCCAAAGAACTTTGTGAACAAAAACATCAGAGAACCACAAGTCAACCCAATAAAGAGCAACATAGATAGTTGATGCTGCACTTCATTTTTGTCCTGCGCTATTGTTTGAAATTATTGAAAAACACCTTGAAATTATTGAAAAACACCAAGAAGTATGAATGGCCAATATGTAACCTATAAGTATAAGGAGCTACTCGCATTCCACGGAATAATTGAGCTAATAAACCATATATCGGCCATTATTAACCCCATTGGTTCTTATTACTATTTCATGTAGGATAAATTTTAAAAGTTTTTGTGTATGTTTATAAACATTTGGGGACTAATTAGCCACAACAGAACAGCCCTATTAGTGAGATTAGAACACTGCTTTACTTAATTTCACATACAACTTAATGCATTTGAACAGTAAAAAGAAACTAACCTGTTTAGCAAGGGAAGTGGCAACCATATTCGAAGTAGCAATTGAAAGGAACATGAATATATAACTCATACCATCACACAGAACTGTCCCAGGACCTGCTCATCCCAAAATTCACAGTCAAAACCTAACTAACCTGGACTCAAAATCCTCCATTAATAAAGTTTCAAGGAAGTACCTAAAGCAGCTAGCTCAATGGAGCTTCCTTGACCAATAACTGCAGTGTCAATAAGACTCATCAATGGCCCACATATCCAAAGCCCAGTAGCAGGTCCTGTGAACATCACAATCTCCTTCATTTGCTCCCACATACTCTGATTCTCCAGTCCCTCTCTATTCATCTCTATTCCTGTTTCTTCTATAAATTCTGAAATTGAATCAGTACTACTTTCATTTTCAGTCACAGAACTGTTAGCGGATTCATGGGCAGGGCTATTGCATGGTGGAAGAAGTCTACTTCTTGGTTTAATAACGAGTGGAATTGGATGCAAATGAGAGATGTGTGAGTTAGGTGAAACTAAAGATAGAGGTCGTTTCTTGAAAGAGATTAAAGACCGAGAAAGAAATCTAGGATATTTATGGTTTTGAAGAGGAGTATGAGAACAGTGAAGCAGAGTACGGGCTTGCATTTTTCCAGCAAGAAAGTTGAGTGAAAGAAAAAAGGAAAAAATAAACGAAAGAACAATGGCCAAAGAGAAAAGGAAGAGGGAGAAGTAGTTAGAGGTGAGACTTTAGGACAAGAAACAGCCGTAGAGGAGAATAAGACTGGTTCGGAGATAATTTCGGTTGGTTTTGTAAGAGCTTTCAAGGCCACAAGAAGGACTTCTGGAGTTCGCGGCTTAGAATTTTCATGGCCCAATGGGGCCACCAACCATGACCAAACAAAGGGCAATCCTTTTCGTTTTCTCGTTGATCTCCCACAAAAAGGGTATTTTAGACTGATGAGAGAGTAGCATCTGAGTATGGTCCAGTTTTCATTTGTTGCCAGTGCCTCATTGCGGATCAAAAACACGCGCGTTCCTTCTCTTTTTACTTTGAATTTAGGTGTGGTTAACTTTAGTTTTTGTTATTAAAATATCTTTTAGGACAAATTTATTTTTATGTTTCTCCAGCAAACGTGTTCCACTATTTTCTTCTCCGGTTACCGATCACTACTAAAATATCATTCATTATGTCTACCATGATTCATAAGAATGCTCTCAACTTCAAATACTGCGTTATTAGTCCACAAAAGGAACTTTATTGTTGAATACACAGTATGCAATTAATTATTAATCAATGGGCATTCGCCATCAGCTGCCAGGAAGAACATGTCACAGCTCAGATCAGTGCATCAGCCGTGTATTTGTAGCCCAACTGTGACTTCTTCAAAGAAGAACGGCAGCGACATGATCCTTCATGGAAAATCCAAAGAATTTTCTTGGATAGGTGCTGGTGGACCAAGGAATAGAACTCTACCGTTAATAAAATCAACACCAAGGCAAAGCATCCGCATGTTGACAAGCTAATAAATTTAAGATCTCGTCCAGCCTGCAAATAAACATAATCTCGAGACCATGATGCAATGTTGGATGTGGCTTTGTCCAAATTTTTGTGTCGAGCAAGAATCAACCAATAAAACCAGCTTCACTAATTCTTGATCCGACAAACAACCATGAGATGCACGTTCATCAAGAAACCCAAGGGGGAAGATCCATATTGAAATTGAAGTCAAACCAAGCATACCAGCAATGCCCTTCAAGGCTATGAGTGCTGGGTGTCACAGATAACGCGATAAAGTAAGGTATCAGAACCTAGTGCATCTGCAAAGACACAAAATAAGATTTCTAGAAACATAGCATGATTGAAAGTGGTTTTTCCATCCACAAGTTTTTTGCAATTCCTGATATCCATTTCATGATTGGTTTGTAGAAGATGCTTGATACTCACTGCAAAAAAAAAAAAGAAAAAGAAAAAAAAAGAGCTTTCCAATGACTAATAGTATGAACTTCTATCAAGATGCTTGGTTGAGGATAAATTAAAGCTTGTTTGATTTAAAGTGTTTTAGTTATCTATCAGTTCTCAATACCACTTACAAGTTAGAAATACCAGACTGAAACAGGCAAGTTTCATTGAACTGCTGATTGCATCACTTGACATGGAGCAGAAAACTTTTAATGTTATTGACATAAATTCGATGTTTCAGAGCAAGAGGCAGTGGTCAGTAGTCACAATCCCACTTGTGCAAATCTGTGATTAGCTAATTGGTAAAACTATTGACCGTAAACAACGCGTATGTGGTTGCAGGGCTCACAAATTTGACGACATAGCAGGAAAGAAACAAAGTTAACTAACCTGCTACACGATCGTCCGGTCAGGTGTGAAGATAATGGGAAGCAACCAAGGCATAGATGTTCCAACTATCCCTAGTACCAAGCCAAGTGTGGCTATCACAAGTGAACTTAACAGCATCCACTCCTGTTTAATATGATAGACCTTTTAGAACACCTAGAATAAACAAAACAAAGCAGCATATGTTGAGGTGAAGTTATCTACCTCGTAGTCACCCAAAAGTTTCTTAACCATCAAAACATGCAACATCTCTGAGGTCATAGGAATGACATAGAATGTAATTAACCAAAACGTAACATGACGGCTGCACAGGCTATCCTTTGACAAATCTCTATTGATTCCGTCTATCAGTTCAGAATTGTGCCTTTTGGAGTAGAGGTTGACCCTTACTGTACACATGTAATGTGTTCAAAATAAAAAACCTGATTGAGCTGATGAAAAACCTAGATTGAAGGAAAAATAAATGAAGAAAACTCAGTTATCCAATAAAAAACTCAAGTTAACCCATCGACCAGTTTAAGACCTGACCTTCATCCTGTTGACTTTTTTTTAATTAAAATATTATTATTTTAATCATTTAAAAAATAAAAATAAAAAGCAATCCTCGTAGCTCGTGACACAAGCCTTGTCTTGGTCAACTATCAAATCTTGCTTTGATCTACTAGTTTAGATAACTCATCTTAGGTTGACTTGACCCATTAGCCAACGGGTTTTAGACGATTTCTTCTCGACTCTAGTAAAGACATGAATACCAGTCTTGAGTTATAAAATTTGACATTAATATTATTTTTTCAAAACCAAAACAAACTAAGCTTTACCTGCCACTAAGTTACATTCTAATTATTGAGCACCTCAGCAATATTGTTTAGCTGCTTTTCTTTTCCAAATCGATTTGATATTTAGACTCTTTTCATCAAAATAGTTTAAAAAATCTTAAGAAAGAAACGTTACAAGTTGGTTTCTCACGTAAATTACATCTTGATAATGTGTTATTACCTAAGTAAAACCTTCCGATTTTACCATTCAATTTTACAATCCGATTCTAAACATCATCTATTCGTAATTTTACATTTGAAAGGTAATTTCAACAGCTCTCTAGAGACCATATTGACATCTAGAGACCTGTTTCTCTCATGCACTATGCTAAGTAACTTTCAGCTTCTCCATTTTATAGCGGCTCAAGTCCTCGGAGAAAAGTATGCCATCAGGAGAAAGAAGTCGCCGAAGAGAAAGGAAAAATCGAGCCTGAAAAAACGGTATTTGTGTGTTGAAACGTTTTCAAGACATGAGCTGTCAAATTATAGAAGTGCTGTCCGGCTAAGATTGTTGGTCTTACCCATTGAAATCCTACAAGTGCATACCAACAGCCAGGCAAACCATATCCTCTCCTGCTAAAAAGCTGGAAATGAGAAAAATAAGTGAAACTAGTAGAGTTCGTGGGAAACCGAGAGAAAACACCAGGAGACCAAGTGGGAAACAGAGAGAAAACACCAGGAGATCAAGTCGTAGAATTCTACCATCAGTACAATAGCACCCAAAGAAAAGCATCCAGTCATTGAAAAGCTAAGGAATCTAAGATCCCGTCCAGCCTGCAAAAACACACTTGATAAAGCAACTTGGACCGAGTTAGAGAGTATTTGTTAAATTATTGGCAATTTTGTTGTTATATTTGCATATATCAATCACTTTTCCCCAGTCAGAAAATATTATATACTGCAAGAAGCAGTTTTACAAACAAATTAGATGCAGTCCCTTGACTTTCTGGCCACACAAAGGTTCCTGACATGTCAGTGAAGGGGCCAAGAGGCACTTGGTTGAGACTTCTGGAGGAGAATCTGGCACCTAGAGAAGTGGAAAAAACTCCCAATCACAGCAACAGTTTCTATAGTCATTTAATTGGTTAACCACTTGATTAGATGTGGTATATGGAGATTGTATTTCTGAAACCATGCTGCATCTATCAACGGTAAAATGTTAACAGCATGTCTGAGACTCAACTTCCATTGTGAGTGAGCAAACTCCATAAAAATTTCACTAACATTTCAATAAAAAAAAAGCATGGACTCCCAAGAGAGTTAAGGAGAGCATTCAAATTAAAGCAAAACTGAACATACCAACAGTGTCCCCTCGAGGCAATGAATGCTAGGTGTCACAGCAATTGCCATAAAGAACGGTAACAGCACTTTGTACATCTGCATGGTTGCAAGACTGAAACATTTAAAATGGTCTCTGAATTTATGGATTGGCTCATGTAACACAAAGCTCAAAACTTAAAAGAGTAAAAATAAACAAATAAACAAAAAGAAAGATCCAACAGAGTTAAAGTACACTTTCAGTTTAATCAGTAGACAGAATCCCACTTAGGTTCGGTTACATGTGGTTCCATGCAATGGTATAAAGGTTAATATCAGCACTAAAGAAGGAAACCGCTCAAGATTCCTCCATTGCTTCTGATATCTAGGCAACACAAATAATTCCTGATAAAAATAATGGAAAAAGGAAATAGAAGTAAAAAGGTAAGAACTAACCTCCTGTATGACCTTCTGATCACGTGTAAAGATATTTGGGAACAACCAAGGAGCAAATGTACCAATGGTCCCTAGAAGCAATCCCATTGTAGCCCCAATTGTGACAAGTGATTTTAGCAGCCTTCGAGCCTGTTTCATATGACAGACCAGTCAGAAGACCCCGGACAAAAAAGAAAAACAGTAGAGATACTGCAACTGCAAAATTTACGACACGTGGTCATTCCATAATGATAAGAGAGGGGGAAAGGAAGTTCCATGATCATCACAATGTAAGAAAACTAACTGGATTTCAGAGAAAGTGGTTGCAAGTGCTGAAAATACAATGGCTGAAGAACACACCTTTTCCAAACTTCGATTTACACCATATATCAACTCAGGCATAAATGATTGTGCAGTTTGTGAGAGAGGCTCGCCCAATACTGTACACATACCCATTATTTGAAGCATGACCTGGAGTAAATTGTAAATTCTCAGGTTCATCAGTTTTAAATTGATATAAAGCTAAAGCAAAGAGGAAAGTAACTTAAACTGCAACTATGACTATGGCTATGTCTACCTGATGAGCAGCCACGGAATGTGTGCCCATAGATGTCGCAAAATATATCATGAGAGAATAGAAAGCCACCTAAACGATCAAAAGTTTCAGATACTTTCAAGTCATAAGATAGGACCACATATATAAAATTGAATAATGAGCAACCTTTGATATCATTGTCACAAACACTGGTGCAGCAAGCCCAATTACTGTCAGGATTTCGTCACGTGTTGGAACAGAGATGGAAAATGCATTGTATCCTTTTTTGTTCAAAGCTTCTATCATCATATAAGCTGCAATAACCTAGAGCATATTGGGGTAAGAGGAAAACAAAAGAGAAAGGAATTGCACTTTTTATTTTTGATACATTTCAAATGGCTCAGTGCAAATATAAGAAGATGAAATTTAATTTTACACAAGGAATAGTCAGCATACCTGTGACACCATTGTGGCCCATGCAGCACCAGCAATTCCATAGCCTAAAAAGCTGCAGAGGACTACATCACCAACACCATTTACAACACTAGAAACCACCAAAGCCTTTAGAGGCCCCCACGAATCTTTCATGCCGAGACTGGAAACAGAAAAGGGAACATTTACAAGCTCAAAACTAGCCAAGCCAAAACTGTTAGGAGTTTCATGAAATATCGAACTAGGAACTCAATGTCAGAGTCTCAAGGGCAATAAATCAAGTTAAGACAAGGATGCAAGTATGAAAAGAAAAGGTGAATAGACTTTCAGAGGTTAAAAAATCATGAATGTTTAAGATATATATAAAAAGGACGCATTGTCTTACTCAAAGGCAAGGCTTTCAGTTTGCAAGATCTTTTAACACAAAATCGGATGCTTTTCTCAAGGTCATTAGAGCACTCCACTGAAAGCCTAATTTGTGGAGATAATGAATGGTCCCTAGAAGACTTTACATGTCTTAAAGATATAGACTAAAACTAAATGCATAGGGAGCCCAAAGGAAGGGGGTAGAAAAATTGTGGAGATAATATATAGTCCCTAGAAGGCTTTACATATTTTAAACTAAATGCATAGGGACCCCGGGGAGGGGGGTGCAGCGGGGGCGCTAAGAGAGCCCAGTATAACTAAGTAGCTTAAGACACTGTTAGCTCATCAAGTAGATAAAGCATGGGATAAAGCAATGATGAGGAGAATAATATAGTTTCACCTTGCACTTTGAGCAACCCATCCTACAAGAACTGCAGGCCATGCTAAGCCTCGAATCTGACAACAAAATATTAAGTTCAAGTAAAAATTACATTAACAAACAAGTTGGATGTAATGTACAGTAATTGACCATGTTAATGATCCCATTCAATGAGTATAATAGAGGACACCAAGTAAAAAGATGTCAAATCATCAAGTATTTGAAGATAAATGATCAGAACTTCGGGACCAGACAAGAGTAGTCAATAATTTTCTCTCTGGCCACGGCATAAACCTGTACTCAGTAGAAATACAGCAGAAATTTCTCCATGTGTTCTCATCATTGATGGTCATAAAGAAACAGCTGACTAAACTTGTCAAATTCCATCAATGATAATAAACATATTCAATCAGAAACCTCACGAATCAAATGCAATAGATGTTATTTTCCACAAGATGATAATGTACAACAAAACCCACTTCCTACTTAACAAATACATCAATAAAATAAATCCATGATACAATTGAAAAGACTTCTGTTATTATTAAACTTTCCTTTCTGAAAATTAGTTTCAGGGTTTAATAAGAAAGGACAGGTAAAAGATGTGAAAAAGGACACAAACCTGAACGTATGTATTTGCTGCAGGTAGAATTTGTGCATTTTTTGGTCCTGAGAAAGCTGAAAAATAGAAGAAAAGCAAGCCCATCAAGCATTCAGTTTCTAACTATGTATAGTGAACAGCACAATATAGCCAGTCACCAAGAGAAAGAAAGAAAGAAAACTACATCCATTCATGATACAGGATTAATAAAAAGCTTCACTAATTTTTATTACCAGTTAGTGCCCATGAACCAAAGAATCTTGTAAATAAGAGCATAAGCAGGCCGCAAGTCATCCCAACAAAGAGAAGGATAGATATTTGATGCTGCACTTGATTTTTGTCCTGCACAGATCAAACAATGCAGTAAAAAACTTGGAAGATATCCTACTTAAGTCTGTTGGGCCAGCTTTAGTTTTGGGATCCCAGATTATACAAGACTCTGTTTTCTTGTCAGCTAGCGTTTGTGAGAGAAATCGAGAGGAGGGGGGATATCGATCTAATCAGGGCTTGGGATTTTCTAACAACAACATTGTATCCTCATCATGTTTTATATGGACGCAGGCTAACAGCTGCAATTAGTTCTTTTTTATCAGCTGCCAATCAATCCAATCTTGGGGTCCTCTCACATACAATTTCAAGCCTCAAACCAGCACACTTGCACTCAACAACACAAGATTTTCACCATAGCACCAAAAACCTGACTGCCAGCAAACCACAATTTTCCAATAACCTCAAGAATCAACTTCACAACCTTAAGTAAACATCGAGTCTCACCATCAAGCTGCATGAACGCATTTTTTATTGAAAGCAGAAACAAAACAATTACAACTCCGCATATAATAAATCACTCAAATTCCATTGGTTAAAGAAACAAATTACTGACCCGTCTGGCAAGGTAAGTTGCAACCATATTCGAAGTGGCAATTGAAAGGAACATGAACGCATAACTCGTATAATCACATAAAACCGTCGCAGGCCCTGCCCATCCAAAAAGAAAACACATTAACAAGCCCCATTTAATTACTTTAGATCCCAATAAAATACACAAACACAAAGAACACCCTCAAAAGCGATTACATTAGCAACTAAACAGACAAATAAAAAGAACCCAGTTCAAAAAATTCCTCAATAAAACAAAAAAGTTAAGTACCTAAAGCGGCAAGTTCAATGTAACTCCCTTGACCAATAACCACAGTATCAATTAGACTCATTAATGGCCCACATAACCAAAGCCCTGTAGCAGGTCCTGTAAACAAAACAATCTCCTTTATTTGACTCCATAAACTCTGATTCTCCAATCCCTCTCTATTCATATCCACTTCTATCCCCTCTTCGTCCAAAATTGAGCTAGTTTCACTGTCATTTTCACCCTCAATTTCATTGTCAGTATCGAAAAGTTCTTGACTTTGGCTACTAAGATTGGCTTTCAAACCATAAAGATGATTTCTTGGTGTCAAAATATTTAATTTTGTAGGAACTTTGGGACTTAGAAGGAGATGGATAGGTGGGTTTTTTAATAGAATTGATGGTTGTGGATGTTTTTTAAAATTAGGGTTTTGAAATGGAATTGTTGAAGAATGAATTAGGGTTTTGATTTGCATTTTCTGTTGAATTCTTAAAAATTTGAGAGAGAGAGAAATTAGGGTTTTTGTTTAATGTGGATTTCAAACAAAAAGGGAGAGAGAGGCAGGTGGCGGTTGGCTCCTTTTTTCTTTTCCTTTTCTTTTGTTTTTGTTATTTTGTAAAAAAGGTAAACTTCGTCCTTTTTTCTTAAAAACATAACAATCTGGTCCCTATTTTTTAAGACACTCCTTTTAATCACTTTATTTTCATATTTGTTTATAAATTAATCCTTCTTTTCGTTACCAATTGGTGATGGGCTGACCTGTCATTTGGGGTGACAATTAATAAGTAAATTAACCAAAAAAGTAACAAATAATAAGTTAATCATAAGAAAATGAAACTAGAGGGACTGTTTATATGTTTCTAAAAATTAAGGTATGATTTTCTGTGCTCTACGTTTGGAATAACTTAGATTTCCTATAATATCACAAATAAACCTTAATCTTAGTGTCTGCATTAATCTATATATATTTCAATTAATTTTTCAGTGTTTTAAAATTAATAATTATTTAAAATTAATTTTAATATCTAATCGGTTCAATTCATTAGTTCTAATTAAGGAATTAATCCTTAATCCTAATCAGACGAGTAGTGTGGGATTCTACCATTCTTTGAATCAATGAGGGTCCATTTTACCCTTTTTATAGGAGAATTTTCAAATTTTGTTTCTTATCGGGACTACAAATTCAGAGAACTATTCATATCTTCATAGCTAGATAGTTTCACTACCTCTTTTCCTGCAAGACTCTGGGTTTGTTTGTGTTTGTGTTTGTCGTGTTATACAACCCTCAATAATACAAGACACAAGCATCAAAAACATTATTTTTATGCTTTATTACAGCTAACCCAGACATACTCGAATAGGGTTTTGAAATTAGGGGTAGGGAACTTATTTTGCGAATGATCTCTTGACAGGGCCATGATTCTGCTACAGTAGGGAGTTAGTACGCATTTCCCTCTTTCTAGTTACAGTCTTCTTTCCTGATCGATGAACCATACTTAGCTACCACCAGTTTGAAACTTTGAGAGATGAATGAAGTTAAAACAACACAGGTCATTTCATGCCTCGCCCACATTTTTTGGCATTACAAGACCATCTAACTCCCTCTTGGCAAACCAGACAATTTCCTGGTGTCTTTTACTCCTGATCACGCAAATTCGTTTGGACAGGAAACATAAATGAAGTACCTCCAAAAATGCAAAAGTTTATGAGCACACATAGTTGGGCCTTTTACAGCCTTTGATTCTCAAGACAGAAGCCTCTCTATCTTGGAGCTTTTTCAACAAAGATCAAGTTAGAAGCAAATTTGCTTTGAATCAGTTTACACATCACAAAACAATCTTGTAAAGAAACACAGAACCGTATACGATTCCGACAACGAATCATGCAGAGAATACTACCATCTGGAATGCCTTGAATGTGCTATTGGCCTTGTCAGGACGTCGTAGAACAAGAACAACTTGATCTTTGACAACTAGAACAAAAGACTGTTAGTTTTCAATGACTGAGAGCAGCAATGAGAAAGAAAAATGAAATAAACCATTTTGTAAGGCCAATACTAATTATTGGATAAATAAACTAGGAAGCTTTTACTTCCCCCAGTTTGTGCTGGACTGTAGGTTCCTAGTTAAGTATGCCCTTGGGAGATGGAATGCGTTGAAGTGCGAAGAAAAAAGTAGCCGGGGAAATCTTATGCTTTCAGCCAAACCATATAAACAAATAAACATGAAAATGAGTGATCATAAATGCTTTATCTAGGGGATGTCAATCTTACCCATTGTAAAGCTACTAGTGCACAACAGCGGCCTGGTAAACCATATCCTCTACTGCTCACTAGCTGACAACAAGAACAATTGGATGGCAATATTAATGCATAGATATCAGAAACAGGTACAATCGAAATTGACGGTAGAGGACTAAAGAAACAAGACTGGCCAGTAACAAAAGAGCAACCAAGGAAAAGCATCCAGTCATTGATAAGCTGATGAACTTAAGATCGCGTCCACCTTTCACAACGAAAAAACAGCCTAATGCTAGATTACAAGTGCCTGTGGTTGCTGATTTATTCAAGCGCGTCCATATTTAGAGTATAATAACCATAAAACTTTGACTGGTCGAAGCAAGTTAGAGCTAGGGTTACATATGAGCCTTTTTATGAATGTTGCGGGCAGAATTCAATTCTCCCAGATTGAGTAGCACACAAGACTTGCGAGTGGCGACAGCATTAATGTTCCAAGTAGAGTCAGAAATCAAATATTACCTGGCTCTGGAGGTTTGGTATGAAGAGTAAATGTTATGAGCAATGAAGATAAAATTTTCACTGGAGGCGTTAATTAAACATGATTCTATAAACACTTGGTGGGTAAATAACATAGATGTTAAAAAAAACCTACCAGCAAAGTTCCCACAAGGCAGTGAATGCAGTGTGTTACAGATAATTGAACAAAGAACCAAATCAACACTTTGCGGGATCTGCAGGGACACAAAATAGAAAATACCGACCAGAATCATCAACTGCATAAATTTACATTGAACCATTTTGATGCAAGATGCTAAACTATGAATGTTGCTTATTTAACTCTGTAATATTTTCATTTTAGTAGAAAGTATTCTTTAACTCTGATTCTGTCTTGTAAACTATGAATGTTCCTTATAGAAAACTCATGCAGGTTTACTTAGTGGTTACTAGTTAGAAAATGGAAACTTGTGGTAACTAGTAAAAATTAGGAAACGACCTAACCTCTTGTGCTACATTAAGATCAGATGTGAAAATAAAGGGGAACAGCCGAGGAATAAATGCTCCGAAGCCTCCGATGGATGCCACTAACGCTCCAAGTATAGCTCCAACAATCACCAGGGATTTTAGCAGCATTCGAGCCTGTTTCATGTCTTAAACCATATATAAAGAACAAAATCACAATCCCGTTTCCTTTTCTTGACAGTGGTGAAAAATATAACAGGAGAAATATCCATAGCATATGAACATTCCGACCTTTTCTGAACTTCTCTCAGTTCCATACAGTAACTCGGG